GACTGATTTACACAGTACAGAACTCTGTCTCATACAAAAATGGCAAACACTTCCCCTACACATGACAAAGCCATGGTTGTTCAGTGTAATTTACAGAGACATTGGTACAAAATGTTCATGCTTTATGAGTTTCATAATACATATCTTACTGACAGTGGACATATCTTTTTCAGGCTGGTGGGGAGACAGTAATTAGGATAATAGATTTAGATTTAGTGGATAATAGATTTGTGGTCCCAAAACCAAAATCCACTAGGTAATCATAATCATAACTAATAGGTTTGATTAGGTAAGTCTCTTAATTTAATTTTAGAAAAAATATAACTTTTGATAAAATTTGTCTCAATTGTTGATTTAGTTCCCTTGAAATGGTAGTTTATTAAGTTAACAAATTGTAGATATTGTATTATTTCAACTCAAGAAACTCTAGTGATTAGATTGTGTTTTTAAGTCAAAATTAGACACTAAATTAATGATTAAAGACTAGCTTAGACAGCAAAAATTATATCCCCCCCCCCGGGGGGATTTTATTACCTACAATGTTGAAATTTAATCTATTTTAAGGAAATTCAAATGGGAAATCTTCCACTTCAATTTTAGCAAAGCATGACCTTGACCAAAATATTATGGGAGTAGGGTCAAAACCAAAATTCTGCCAAAATGGATTAGCAAACATATGCCAACTAATATTGGTGATTAATACACATGCCGATTTTTTTTATTAAATTAGTTTTATCTCCATATATTTATTTAAAAAATATTTTTTTATTACACAACATTAAAAAAATAGCATTTGACAATAAAAAAACTCAAAATAACATTTACCGTATATTTTTTTACTAAAATATACTTTTAATCCTGTAACTTTATATAAGATTTTGGTTTGGTTCATTAATTTTAAAAAATATATTTTTAGTTTTTTAATCATAAAACTGTTGAAAAAATAATGATATTGAGATCGTGAATGTTGATAAAATATTTTCAAATACTAATATTTTAAGTTTAATTTTTAAAGTAATTATAATTGTTACAAAAAATTATCATTCAAAACATCAAACTAAAACATTGCATAAACTTTTTTAATATAATATATTAAATTCATTTTTATTTTTAATTTCATCCAATTGAATCCTTTTTAATTTACTTCGATATTTCGGACTATTTTTTTAATATAATATATTAAAGAAATTTTCTCTAAATGACAGTAAAAAACAATCTTCAAAATACCAGATAAATATTAGTCCAACTATTCTTGTTTCTTCAATAATCATTTTAAAAACACTCACCGTGTATGCCTAAAAAAATTTATCTCACAGTTAATTATTTTGTTTTTTTTTAAATACACCACAGTTACTTTGATTTAATATACCTAAAAAATATTAGTCCAACTAATATTGGCTATTATTGACATTTGACATACGTAGACTTAAATTTGACCTTTGTTTTTTGGGACAATATTTAATTTTGACTTGATCATTTATATTTCAATCAATTTTAAATTTTAATCCAGTGGATTTGATCACAACACAATCGATCATAGACCAAAACGAAAAGAGTGGATTCAATCAATTTAGTTTTACCCTAGACACCCATAATAATGTGAACAAACGAATAACGCCATTTAATTCCTTTTTATCCCCAAAAATATTATGTGAATAAAGGGCGGATATCTGGTTTAAAAAAGAAAAAAGGAATAAAGGGCGGATAATTTAGTTATATAATACCTCCGGTCCTTAATATAAGATCTCATTTAACTTTTATTTTGGTCCTAAATATAAGATTCCAATCCACTTTGTCTCTCATATTTGTACATTTTTTCCCAAGATAGTCCTTCTCATAATAATAGTTGTAGCCAATGCACTTGATTAGCAAGGATATTTTAGAAAAAGTAATACCTATTTATTACAAATAACTAATTTAACTTATTTCCTTAATCTCTTCAAATTAGCCAACTAACTCTTATAATTAGGACCGAAAATAGCATTATACTATCTCCAATTCTTAATATAAGAGCTAATTTGACATTTAATTTAATCTTAAATACAAAATTCTAATCTCCTTTGTTTCTTTTATATATATATACACACGTATGTATATGTATCTATTCTTTTCCAAAGTAATTTATATAGTAGTTACATATATTAAATGTTCCATCATATGGTAGTTCTAACTAATACAGATGATTGATAATAGTATTTTTAAAAAGACAACACATATTTATTATAAATAGCTAATTTAACTAATTTTTTTAATATGTTTAAATTAGTTTTTTATACTAAATAGCGGAGGTAGTGTCTATATAATCCAGTTTTCGGTCATGAATACTTTAAAGCCCAGATTTATTGAGAATTTGGCAGCTTGAACAGCCCCAGAAGAGAGAATGATCGACAGGGGCTGAAAAGTTCAGGGGAAAGAATAATCGAGAAGGACTAAGTTCAGTAGAAGAAGTCAGTATGTAGCGAACTAGGATTCAGATTCGAGAAAGATACGAACATTTCGTATCCAAGCTAATATATTTAGGGGAGAGAATTAATGTGATGAAAATTTTGGATAACTTTGGGTTCAAGATTTTTCTAGTTTGCTGGGGGAAGGATGGATCGAGAATTCATTACGGAAGTTCTGAAAAACACAACATAATGATGTCTTTTTTTTAATTATAGTGCATCAAAGCCAAGATCTCTCCAATCGACAACTTAATCAATTATGTTGAAAGGAGTAAATTGAGCGTGGTTGAAAATTATGAATATCTTTTGAGCCGTAATTGTTCGAAATCTGGAGATCAATGGTGAAGAATCCATTGTCAATGTTCTGGTAACACAGCCAGCTTGCCTATTTGGGATTCTATTTTCAAGTTTAAAATTGAATTTTAGAATCCCTTATAATAAATAAGGATATTTTAGAAAAAAAATGAAAGACAAAATGAATTAAGGTCCAAATCAAATCCCAAACTAATTCTTTCATTAAGAACATAAGATAATAGTAACTTAATGTTTGTTTGAGGTCAAAATTGGGTTTATCACCTTAAGTATTGAAAAATATTGTTAACAGGAAATAAATAATAACATACCAATGGGTAAAGGATGATGTTTTTCACTGATTTTAGTAATTGACGTATTTGTCTTCCGAAATCTTTATGGTGGTCAGTTTGATTTGAGCATAATGGACGGCCTGTTTGAAGTTTGAACAGAGCTTTTATAAGTGTCTTTATCAAAGATTTGGGAGCAATCCTCACTTGACTAGATCGTTATGGCAAAGCTGCCTAAGTTCCTCAATGATTTCAATTTAGAAATGTGAAAAGATTGAGATTAATGTCAATTTATAAATATGAGAAAATTGAGATTAATGTCTATTTATAAATGTAGAAAATTTGAAATTAATAGCTGCTTCCAAATGCGGGGAAATTGAGATTGATTGAAAGGCTTGAACTTGGCATTCATAGTTGCCTTAATTAATTTTGGATGCCTTGTCATCCTTCGAAATTACACATGACGTATTTTCTAAATGACAATGTTTTTTTTTTTTGGTATAAATAGAAGTTTTTGATTTTATATTTGAACTTTTATATTTAATACACTCCTACGAGGGTTATTGACATTGTGTCGTTTGATTCCTCATCTTAAAATGCATAAATATAATGATGGGTCTCTTTCACTCTTCAACTTAGACTCTCCATGTATTTGCTACTTTATAACCCTGATACGTGTACTTTGTCAAATTTTCAGTGGTGATCGCAAACAGTGATGATCATTGCATCATTTGATGCTTGATTTCTATGCTTGTTTAAAAATGTGGGAAAGTTAAAGTTAATGCCTATTAGAAATGCCTCTTGCAAACAGTGATGGTCATTATATCATTTGATGTTTGATTTTGATACTTGTTTAGAAATTTCGGAAAGTTAAGGCTGATGCCTATTTAAGAATGTGAAAAACCTGATATTGATGCCTATTCACAAATGTTACAAAATTAAAATCGATGTCAAATTGAGATCAATATCTATTTATGATTGTGGAAAATTTGAAATTGACGCGCCTACTTTACAAATCTGGAAAAATTGCAATTGATGGAGAGGCCTGAACTTGGCATTCAAAGTTGCCTTGATTAATTTTGGATGCCTTGTCACCCTTGGGAATTGCATATGTGGCTTATTTTATGGATCAACTGCACTAAATTTACATGCTGGTGTGTATACTAGAGATAATCGCTCCAGGTTAAACCACACGCTCCACTGCCCATTTCTTCTCAAGCAATCCACAACACTCGTATTTACCTTTTTTAGTGATCTATCAAGAAATTCTAATAATAAGCAAGAAGTTATGGTTTCTTATATTGAAACTTGTTATTAGTTATTACGGGTTATTCTGTTATTACTGAAACATTTTAATAATGTAGTTTACTTACTGGAACTTTATAGCAATCATATCAAGAATTTAAATATCTGATTTGTAGAGATTCCCTCCACTTTGACTAAACTCTTCAACACTAAATGAATTAGAACCCCATCTTTACTTGATCCTACTCCGAAGCTCTCCAATTCTAGCAAGAGTTCGGGCTCCTAATTCATCTTCTGCGCTCTTGAGCAAGTCCTACTCCCTTTCAAGGTCCTTCGTCTGGAAAGTAGATCAAAGGACCCACCATAATAATTTGTGCAGCTTCGCTGATCTTTTCACAGCAACGTCCCCAAATGGATGCTGATTCTAAAGGCTTAGGAGTGTTTGGGTAAAAGTAAAATTGTGATTTTAAAAGTACTTTTACGATATACGAAGTAAATATGTGAAGGAGTTTGTCTCGATTTATAGAAAAGTACACTTTTAACATAACCCAAACACCTCTTTAGAAGCGATCGGCGGGTCTCCAATTTGGCTGCGCCTGAGTGAAGTCTCGGAAGTCAACGTAGCTTTGGGCTGATACAGAAGATACTCAGCCCATCAGGCCCACTACAGACTCTTCCAGGTCTTCTTATGTGCATATGCCCCTTCGGACCTCTCCTTCCGAAAATTAGCCATCACGCAGGACCAGAAGCGTGGCGGAATTCTGCACAGAGGTGAGAGATACGCAGCTCCGTTGTTGTTGGTAAGCCGTCGTCTTTCTCTCCACTTATATGATTTTCATACTTTCTTGCTGTGGAATGACCAAACTTGATCCAAGCTCTATTACTCTTAATTTTTTTGTTTCTCGTTCGTCTTCGTCCTCTAAGTGATGTTATTCTCTGCGAATTATGAAATTGAGAGTGCAGAAGATATTAATTACTTCGGGAGTATAGAGCGTAGCCGAGGGACTTGAGAATTGATAGGGTACCTTTTTAGGGTCTTTTGTTTTTTCCGTCTTTGATAAAATTAAACTACTATTGATTTTTTTTTTTTGGGCTTTTGCTAATCCACTAAGTACATAAACTTTTATGTTCATCCTACAATGTGTAGCTTTGTCACTACTCAATCAGTAGGATCAAGCTGCCAGGACTGGGCTTGTTTCGGTTTTATGTTTGCACTTATTTCTTGTTGGTAGGTATTCAGGTGCTATAGCGTGCTCGCTTTTACATTAGATTAAATTAGGCCAGATTACTGTCCAAGGGATTGAGATAGTTTTCTAGCAACTCACGTGGTTATAACTATTGGATAGTTTTCTAGCAACTCACGTGGTTATAACTATTGGATAGTTTTCTAGCAACTCATGTGGTTATAACTACTACAAATACTATGTAACTAATACTAACGATGCTAATTTCCCTGATAAAAGAAAATGAAAATCGCAACCTGTGTTCTATGGAAGCACACACTTGAAAGAGCATGTTTATGTTTTGACACTTGTCGGAAATTTGTATTTTACTAGACGTTACTCGACACTTGAAATTATACTTCGATGCCAAACAATTTTCAAGTCGTGATGCCAACATCCGGTGTCAAGTCCTGGTCGTTGCTTCCTAGCTTGTGTTAAACGTATATATTACCATATCTTTCTCATTTTAGCCAAAGTTTTATCCTTGTCTCTACCTCACATCTTGCCTCAATATGAACTTTTAGTTTTATTCACTTCTCTATCGTTCCATCCTTATCTGACTCACATTTTCTTTTTCCTCTTTATGGTTTACTAGTGTTCAAGTCATTGGGCCAGTATGGAACTGCAAAATGCTTCCCCTGCCTTGGTTTTAAAGGGTTCACAGCAAAGCCAGGGCTCAGCAACTATGGCAACTGGTGCAGAATCAAAACCAAAGAAGAAAATCTGTTGTGCTTGCCCAGACACTAAAAGGCTGCGAGATGAATGCATAGTAGAGCACGGTGAATCAGCTTGTACAAAATGGATTGAGGCTCATCGTCAGTGCCTGCGTGCCGAGGGGTTCAATGTTTGAAACTGATGAGCAAGAAAAGAAGAATAGAGAAAAAGAAGACATTGGTAGAATAACTGAGTTGGTTTCTATAAAATTGATACAAATTTTGGAGCACGGTAGACATTTACTGACGTTATACACATGATATTCGAATTGTTTGAATAAAAGAGAAAAGGGAACTGATTGCTAGATGCAATGCATAATTTACTTGTAAATTTTTAATTGGGAGGTTTGTGCCTCTCAAATGTTTTGTTGAAACTGAAAGGTCCGAATGCAGATTGCATTTTTATATTCAAAATCATTTTGTACATTATAGGCATACAAGTGTTGTAAATCAATAAATCCCCTGCTACTTGTGCTATTTCCCGATTCTCCCAGGTTGTACCTGGTGCTGACGAGAAAGCATAATTTATGATTTGGTTCTATTACGTATTTATATCTCTTTATAATTTGCCTTTTTTATTTTATGGTCATTAGCCTTTAATTTCTATAATTGATTTGGTCTGCGCGCGTGCGTGTTTTGTGAATTGGATCCAGTGAAAGAAAGAAACAAGGGAAAAAAAAGATCAAGAACAAGCCAGAGGTATATGATAATATCAGTGCATTATGTGGCAGAACCACAAAGGCATAGTGAATTATTGGACTCCTGGATGTGCCTCAACAAGTTACTATATGTATAACAACAAAGACACGTTTTTTTTTTTACCAGAAACAACAAAAACACGTTTAACTCTATATAATAGTTATTGATATGATGTTTATGGTGGCCGCTTCATAATCACTGCTTTGCTTAGTGGCCAATCATGAATTATGTATCTGATCACGTGCAAACAAACACAGTGAGTGATTAAGCCCGTCTGGCTCCAAGGCTCTTAATCGCTAATCATGATTTGCATACTTAGTTCGGCTTCATTGTCATCCATAAAAAGGGGACATGCATGTATATTTACATACATGTTTGACGGGCGTAAAGAGTAAACTCACTTTTAACATTATGCTCTATCATTTCCAAGTATGGACAACCAAAAGTTCGTTAAGGGTGTTGCCTTTTCTCAGCAACGCAGCCGTTCCGTTTCTTCCTGAAAGACAGATTATAATCACATCATTATTGAGGATACAAGTAAATAAATGTTTTATTGTTCATTAGTATAGAGAGAACGGAAGAGGCATTTACACGCTATGGCTCTCGGGTGGACCACCATTCCACTCCCAGTCGTCCCAGGGTTCTGACACCGTGGATATTGAGAGCAAGAAACAAAGGAGCTGTGAATTTCAAAGCTCAGTATGTTTATAATTATATGATACAGCTGCTATATTTGAACCCTCTAAGTATGATGCAGTACAGAGAAACTGAGACCCCTACTGAATATCATCATCATCATCATCATCTCAAGGAATCTTCAGCCACAGAAGGCCTGGCCCTCCTCTGCTATGATATCTCTTTTTGTGTTCTTTGGCTTTTTCTAAAATGAAAGTATGCTTCCTGCTGTGTTATTTGGGTGTTTGGATCACTTGGTGATATATCCAGTTGTTTTATTCTCTGCTTTGAAGGCGAAAATTGAATGGCTCACGAGACCATGCTAGCTATTTTTAAAAGAGCCATACAAACGTTTTCCTCCTGCTCCTTTTGATTCAGTAATCAGCATTCCAACATGACACTATGAGATGACATATTATTTAATTAAACTTTTTTAGCAGAACGCACACAGACACACAGACACACATATTTACTACATATTGTCATATATCTCATGATCTCATTATAATTTGGTTCTATAAGGTTATATGCCTTCTCTTTCGCTTTATATATTGGGAAGTGGATTCAGTGAAACAAACAAGAAGAATAGTAGAAAGAGGAAGAACAAGCTGGGTATATGATAATATGAGTGCATTATACGACAGAAAGGGACAGACATGGAAATGGAGGATGTACAACGACGACAGAAACCAGAGACAATGTCAGTTATTGGATGTGCATCACAGCACAAACACACTTATTCATAAGCAAGGCTGCATATTATGATGTTGTTCGTGGTAGCAAATTCATGGCTTAATGATTCCCTTAGTATTCACTGGCTGCTCACGCAGCTCTCCTCGTTGCTGCAAAATGGATTTGTATATTGATAAGCAAGCTATATAGCATAGTATATAGAACATTGAGGACACACGACGCAGCACCATGGCGTGAAGCCCGTCTAGCTCAGTCGGTAGAGCGCAAGGCTCTTAACCTTGTGGTCGTGGGTTCGAGCCCCACGGTGGGCGTCTGCTTTTTTGATAAGCACGCCCATGCATAATAATCTTCTGGTCAGACAAATAGGAACTAACCAGGTGTTTACCTTGGCCTTCAACGTCTAATTTTTAAAGTAGAATTTATGTTGATTCTATGTATAAAATTTATTTAACATATTTATCAAAAAGTAATCCTACAATTAAATATGAAAAGAAAGAAATTAAAAAAGATGATTACAATGTCCTAGAAAAAATATATCATATTAATAAATTTAATAAATATGTTTAATCTATTTAAATTACTTAATTAAATTTCCAACCTCTAAACTCGGGTGCAGTATTTTTGGGGGAAGAGCCTGAAAGTCGAGACCTCGCAGGGCCCGTGAGGAGCATGAGCCTACTGATCATCATCTTAAGGAACTTAATGTCTTTTCGCGGAGAAACAACGTCACCATCATATATTCTGCATTTTTTGAGATTCCTGCGTGTGTTTGTGTGTGTCTTTTTTGTGTTGCTTGGCCTTTTCTGCCCAAGATAGGATTCTTTCCAATGTGTTCCTCCGTCAAACTGTGAACAGTTGGAGTAATACTTGTCCTAATTCTTAAAATAAAAATTAGTTTGATATTCAATTTAATTTTAAATATAAAACTTCAATTAATTTTGTTTCTTAAATTTATTTATTATTTTTAAAATAGCCTTTGTATTCATCAAATGGTGATTTTAGGTAATACATATGATTAGTAAGGATATTAGGAAAGATAACACCTATATATTACAAATAACTAATTTAACTAATTTTTTTTATTCTACTCACACTACAAAAAAATATGTTAATTCTAGCGGTTATGGTGTTACATTTCTAGCGGTTTTAACCGCTACAAATAACATTTGTAGCGGTTAACGAAACCGCTAGAAAAACAGGTGTTAGAAAAAATTTCTAGCGGTTATCTCAACCGCTACACATCATGGTCAAAACGATAGAACATTTCTAGCGGTTACGAACCGCTAGAAATTATCTGAAGGAGACACATTACTAGCGGTTACAAAACCGCTAGAAATTTTTTCCGGGGAAACGTTTCCAGCGGTTTTATAACCGCTAGAAAAGTTTCCCCGGAAAAAATTTCTAGCGGTTTTGTAACCGCTAGAAACCTGCTAAACGGGAATTAAATAATTTCAGTAGCGCGCGAAAATTACTAGCGGTTATAGAACCGCTAGAAATATTTGGGAAATTAAATTTTCACACCAATTGAATTTTTAGAATGGCGGGAAAATTTTCTAGCGGTTCTTAACCGCTAGAAATTTTGGCGCGAAATTTAAATTTGACGAAATAGTTCTAGCGGTTCTGAACCGCTAGAAATGTTTACCGTGCCAGAAAAAAAAATTTATGGTTTTTCATATTATAATTTTAAAAACCATTAAATAAATTATTTTGAAGAATTTTTGTTAATTTGTATAATTAGTTATATGTTACATTTTATATATTCAAATTTTGTAATAAAAATATGTAATTAAATTATGAATGTGTTAAAAGAAGTGAATTTAATCTAACAAGATAATTTAATTGAATATTTAATAAGATAGTTGAATTGAAGATGATATATTTTGGAATATTGAACCTATAGTATTAAGTTGATGAGTATTTGAATCAGTTGAGGAGGGCATGACAAATGTGGAGAAGAAAAATCTGAAAGGAAAGAAGAAATAAATATGTTAGTAAATTTTAAATAAAAACAAATAAAAGATACAATGAATTATAAAATAAAATTCACTTACCATAGAGTAAAGAGAAAAAAATCACAATATGAGATAGTAAGAAAAAAAGAGAGAATTATGAAGAAGAATAGGAGAGGAAGGAAAAGAGATGGAGTAAATGAATGTAGAGAAGATATGATATTTATAGAGATCAGCGACACATTTGTAGCGGTGTTTTTGTAGCGTTTTATAACATTTTGTAGCTGTTATTCATTTTCTAGCGTATATAAAAGCGCTAGTAATTAGTAGCGGTTACATATGTAGCGGTTATTAACCGCTAGAAAGTTAGTATTTTTTATTTTTAAAATCTGAACGAATTTTAATTTACAGGTATGTATTTTGTAGCGGTTCATAACCGCTACAAATTTTTTCACGATATTGTAATTTGTAGCGGTTATTAACCGCTACAAATTACAATTTTCACGAAATTGTAATTTGTAGCGGTTAATAACCGCTACAAATTACAATTTCGTGGAAAAATTTGTAGCGGTTAATAACCGCTACAAATGAAAATTTTTTTATTTTTAAAAAAATTTTACGAATTTTAATTTATACATATGTATTTATGGACGAAAAATTTGTTAAATAATTTATTTTGGATGCTGCTACTCTCCATCATCATCCGGCCTGAAAGGACATATTTTAAAAAAATTTGTTAAATTTATGTTGTATTTGGAAAAAATTAGTAATTAGTAGTTAATTATTTAAATAATTTAAGAAAAGACGTGTACCTGATAAGTGGCAAATTATCATCTCCTTGAGGAAAGAAGTCTTCAAAATTCGAGGGTTGGAAGGGTTCACTGTCGTAAATAATGTCACCATCACCCATATCGTAAAGATCCCGTGGCTTGAGGTGAACGACCATATTCCAGTCTTTATGTTTCTCGTCCTCGACATAGTAAATTTGGTGTGCCTCAGAAGCAAGGATATATGGCTCATCATCTTCAGATGCCCCCGTATGAATAAGTCTTGAGAAATTGACTGAGGTGATGCCCAAATGGTCAGTAGCGAGTCCCCGTGAAGTTGTCGTATTTGCCCAGGAGCATTTGAACAGTGTCACGGTGAAAAGCTGGTAAGTCAACTCAATAATGTCAATTAGCTTTCCATAGTAAGTGACGCCTCCAAAGCGCATATCGCCATCACTACTGCTAGCATAACATCTCGTTCCGAATGTCCCGCAAACTCCAGAGTTTTGTGTGAGCAATCCCTGATCACGTGCAACCGTACAGAACTTGAAGCCGTTGACATTGTACGCGGTAAACCTCCGTGCATGGTCTAACGGACCGAGAGAAAGAGCTCTGAATTCATCTGTGTATGGGCTGTTGTCATTACGTATTCGACGTGTAAACCAACTGGGAAACTCTTTGTGGACTCTTTTATCAATGTCAGCAGAACGCGCACGGCCCCGTAGCTGACGCCTGAGATAACTCCTAAACTCACTATAGTAAA